TTAAACTTGAATTGTCCCCTTGGAGTGGAACAATTAGTGGCAGCACGTTAATCAAATCATTCTAATTAATAGTTTTTCTTTATATATGTATTACATTTTAAGAAAGAGCTGTGGCTTTTAGGCCATTGAAGTTAAAAAGTGGCATTGGAACTTTATGTCAAATCATGTGACGGGTATTTCCGAGAAAGTCTTTCCATCTCACATCCTCACAAGACAGGACAAGACAGGATTGTTAGCCGCCGTCTCCACTCTAATTCTTCCAAGTACTAGTGGAGTTCGGTCGGTTGGATTATTGTGGGATGAATGAATTGTAAACCAAGATATTAAATTAGGAAAATGCTAAGGAGATTAATTTGGAATACCAACTCTCTAATAGAGCGTGAGATTCATTGTATTGGTAGGCTCCACCTCTATTAGAGAGTTGGTACACAAGTTGGTCTCCCTAAAATGACCATATTAATTAACTGATCAAATTCCCCCAATCTTTGTGATATTTGATTTAACTGTTGCACAGTGCCCGTTCTGAATTTTTCAGAGAACAAGGCAAAAGTAAAAATTAGGCTCCTATATATTTTCATTTTTCAATTAAGATATAATCTGTCTAAATTAATTAAAAATTTAACATTCAAGACAAATAAATTATATCAATTCAAACTTTAATATATAAAAATTAAGAATAAAAGGCAACATTGTATAAACAAGATAAATACTTGCAACAATTCAATAAGTTCTTTTTCATCCAGCAACAAGCAATCAACAAAACAAAAATTTATCTGCATGCTCAATAGCCGAAGCAAAACAATATCAATCTACTTGAAATCCCTTTGCATCCTCAACAACCAACAAAACATAAATGTATTTTCATCCTCAATAGCCAAAGCAAACAACAACAGACTACTTGAAATCCCTTTGCATGCTCAGCAACCAGCAAAACATCAACATCACCACATGCAAGATAAGGTGAAAAACAACAAAAACACAACTACAAAATTAATATTTAAATGATTTTCTTCTTGCATTTTGAGAAGCAAAATCCTCAATGATGCTTTCAAATTCAAGCTTTTCTAACATCTACTTTTCAATGGATAAAATTGCTAGCCCATTTGGCCTTTCTTGTGACATGGTAGACCTCAAGTAAGATTTCAATAATTTTAATTTAGAATCACAGGTACAGTCAACAGTATTCTATAGGCAATCAAAATATTTGGAAAACAGTCCATATCTTTTACAAACTCTACAATTTCAAGTGTTGTGTTTACTTCTGCCGGTAAAAGCAATTGAATCACATGTAACTTTGAAAACAAATCACTTGCATCAACATCAAAAGACTCACCATTTCTTAAAGTAGTTTCAAGCTTTTCACAACAATTTTTTCAATTCCTCATCACCCAATGAAGTTAACTTTTTTGAATTAAACAAGAACCCAAAAATACCTTCATATATTTGCATTTGTTCAAATATACTCCTTAATGAAGAAAGAGCCATATCCACTACACTGATGAAATAATTGATTCTTCAACTGATTGTACTGTCTTATCATTAGCATTCTCATCAAATTTTTTCTTTATATGACTTTGACGTTTTTAAGGAAAATTCAACTTCAATCCCCATATCACAAGCAATAGTTTAAGCTTCAATCATAGCAGATGCAAATCCATTTTCCCTATAATTTTCAAAAAAAGAAATGAGCCCCTCCAAATTTTTTAAAGCAACATCAATGCACAATATTTTACTTGTTTGATTTTCTCAGTGATTGCACTTTTGACTTTTGATGCCAGCAAAGCAATCAGCTCATTTTGAATCTTATGGCTTAGATAGTGATAGTGAATCTCATCATTTTGAATTCGTTGAAAATGTTCGATCATATTGAATCAAATTATGCAACCATTTCCAATATACTTAAAAAATTACCATTATTTTCTTCATAAATTCTCTCTTTTGTTCTATGGAATGCAATATTATTTTTAGCAAGACATTTGACAAACAGAAATTATTCTTTCCAAAACATGTGTTCCAGTGTTCCTTCTCTCTCTTGTATGTCTTTATCAATTGTTTCATTTTTTTCAATATGTTATGTAATTCAATCTAAGAACTCATGTTAGTTATGTGTCCAATGTTGTTTTTATGTTGTTTAAGCCTCTCACTAAGATGTTTTCAATCTCTAAGTCCTTCGTTTGCTAATTGGCTTCTACAACACATTGTCTTAAACAACTTACAACGGAAACAAAATAACTTATCCAATTCCTTTGAGTATACTAGCCATTTTTTGTCATGAGTCTCTCCATTTGGTAACCTTCTCGTGTAATATGTTGAGGAAAAATGTCTACAATTTTCATCCATGGAAAATTTGATATTAAGAAGAAGAAGAAGAAGGCCATTGTCTTTTTTTTTTTCTTTCTCAAAAATATTAAATCAGTTATAATAATCTAATATAACACTTACTAAAAAATAAATTTAGTCCCCCCGAATAATGAGCCCAGGGCGGTTGCCTTCTGTCCTTTTTGGTGCACACCAAGTTCGGGGTTGCTCGAGCGTGTGGAATAGGAGAAATAATGTATCCTTGATATAATATATATGTCATTACATGAGTATGTTATAGTTACATCGAAAAAAATTTCATCCTAAACTATGCAATAATTCGTTCATTCTTCAAAAAAAAAAAAAAAAAAAACTCATATAGTTGGGCCATGCACTAGTGTATATAGCTGGACTTATAATATTAATAGCAGAGGCCACTATTTCTTAACTTTTGGGCCCATGCCACAATGCAAAGCTGGCTTCTAAGTTCGAAACCCACAAACGAAATTGATCAGTTCACCCAGCATTCATTCAATCCAATAAAACTCCGACCGTCCTCAACTTAAATCTGCGTCAGCAAATGGTGCGGAGACTGATTGCGTTGCAGGTTTACCAGAGAATGGTAGGCACCGCCACGTCCAATAGTGAGCAGCTCATGGTGTGATCCTTTTTCTGCTACTTTTTCATTCACAATCACAGCAATGGAATCTGCTTTCTGTATTGTTGACAACCTGTGAGCTACAACCGCACATGTTCTGCCAACCATCATCTTCTCCAGTGCTTCCTGGACTAAATTCTCTGACACACTATCAAGTGCACTGGTTGCTTCATCCAGCAGAAGGATTGTTGGGTTCTTTAGTATGGCTCGTGCAAGCGCTATCCTCTGCTTCTGCCCTCCTGATAGTTGAACTCCTCTTTCTCCACAGTGAGTTTCATATCCCTCTTCCATGGAGCTGCAACATAAAAAAATGCATTTTCATTAGGATCCAACAATTAAATGTTGAATGTATCTCTGTTGCAATGTGGTTTGGAGAAAATTTTATTTAGCCTTACCTTACGAACTCATGAGCATTGGCAAGCTTTGCTGCCTTTCTTACTTCAGCTACTGTTGCATTCTCTTTGACATAGACTATGTTTTCATGAATGGTTTCTCCAAAAAGCGTAGGCTCCTGGCGTACTAAGGCAGTTTGTGACCTTAAGCTCTTCAAATTATAGCTCCTGATGTCGCATCCATCTATGGATACCGATCCGCTTAATGGGTCATAGAATCTTTCAATCAAGCCAATGACAGTGGATTTGCCTGAACCACTCTGTCCCACTAGTGCTATTGTGTCTCCAGCTTGTATTTTGAGACTCAGGCCCTTGAAGATCATCTGGTCAGGCCTGTCTGGGTAACAGAATACAACATCTCTTAGTTCTATGTGACCCCTGAGAGCCTTTTTAAAGTTAACCCCTTTAAGCTCTTCAGAGGAAATCTCACTTTCTCGGTCTAAGATAGAAAATATTGATTTGATGGTCCTCCCACCTCTTGCTAGATCAGAGGTCATGCTTCCTGCATCTGCGATGCTTTTACTACCATTGCTCATTAAGACAAAGAAAGCTTGATAGAGGTGCTTCGCTGTTACTAGCTTCTGATTCATTAACCTCTCTCCATACCAGCTATTGCAGCTGTGTTTAAGAATTGGGAGCTGAACAGACAAAAAGCTGAAATCCATGACTGTTTGATGTTCTGCTTCCTGGCCCTTCATTGCAGCTCCAAATTGATTTAATATCCTTGTCTGAGAGGAAAATGCAGTTATAGTCCTGTGGTTGAAAGCAGCTTCACTTGCTAGTTGACTACCCTCAGCCTGTGCTTTCTTTGCTTTTGTAGACATACTCTTCATTAGAACACTACTTGAATAGAAGCTTCCTATGAGCAAGGGCTGTATTGCAATCATTACAATGGATATCCTCCATGTGACTATTAGTCCAATCACAACAGCCAGGGAGGCACTGTAGAAAACCTGCACCAATAATGGCATAAAATCTGCGGTTAGGGACCTAACCATGTTTACGTCAGTAGTTAGTCTTGCAAAGATGGCAGCACTTGTGTTCTCATCTTGATCGAACCACCCTATCTCAAAATTGAGAATCTTTTCAAGCATTTTTGTTCGAACCCTTCTGGATAATCGCTCTCCCATAACTGCAAAATTGTAATGTTGGAGGAGATTGGCAATGAAGCTGAAAACTGCTAGGCTTAAGAAGATGTAGTAGTACATTTTAATGTCTGATTTGATGGTGGATTTTTCTGGTTCGAAGTAAATGGATACAATTGTTCCTAAGAAATAGGTATGAATTAGGTGAACAAATCTGAAGCCAGCAGCCCCAAGACACCCTAGTATTTCTTGTTTCCACTCTGGTGCATTCATTTGCAATAAACGCCAAGGGGAAGAGGAAGGATAAGAACCGTCCAGTAACTTTTTGATGTCAGAGTCATCATACTGCCGCATTTCGAATAAGTTTGGAATACTGGGGGAAAATACCGGAATGACTGGATACTCCGGGCTGTTTTGCAGGCTTGATCTCACACTTTTTGGTGTCTGTGGAGTTTGTTGATGCTTCATTTTGTGGTCTATGATGTCTTGTACATTATAGGGAATGTCAGGGCAACCATTATGCATGGTTTTTGGCTGTAAGCTCCACCTTCTTCATTGTTCACATGGACCAACTCATCGTGAGATCCTATTTCAATCACTCTCCCTGATTGAAGAACCGCTATCAAATCAGCCTTGCGGATAGTGGTGAGGTGGTGAGCTATGACAATAGTTGTTCTTCCTTGTGAAGCTTGGTTTAAGGCTTCTTGTAACATTTTTTCAGATTGAGCATCCAAAGCACTTGTGGCTTCATCAAGCAAAAGAATTTCCGGGTCTCTGATTATTGCTCTTGCTATGGAAATCCTTTGCATTTGTCCTCCAGACAATTGGACTCCAAATTGCCCAACCTGAAGTGAAAGGTAAAATATTTCTAGTCATATATAGCTATAAATAGTACTACTTTTGATGGAAACTTGGAATGAGTAGAATATTGTGGCATACTTAAGTGTCATATCCTTGAGGTAGTTTAACAATGAAGTTATGTGCATTTGCAGCCTTAGATGCACTTATTAGGTGTTCCATTGGAGCTCCTTCCTTTCCGAATAAGATATTCTCTTTTATCGATGTTGCAAAGAGAATTGGCTCTTGATTGACCAGTCCCTCTGGGATCTCAACCATTGCAGTTGAAAGTTCTTTAACTTGTGTCCATCAAGGAGAATGTCTCCATTCACTGGATCATAAAATCTTTCAAGCAAAGAAATGATTGTTGACTTGCCAGAACCACTGCCTCCAACTAGACCCACCATCTTACCAGCTTGGACTTTAAGATTGAGTCCTTGAAGAACTGGGCTATCCGATCTTGATGGGTAGCAGAAATCAACATCTCTAAATTCGATATCTTCTTTCACATATGGTAAAACTTTTCCCTTTCATCCTTTGAGTCAATAACAGGAATGCAGTCATTCATCTCAAATATCCATGTAGCAGTTCCTCAGTGATGAAAGAGAGATTTGGAAGCACATTCATTATGGACCTGAAAATACAAAATTGAAGATGTGCGTTGATTCTTACAAGAGTTTTGAACTTATTTGTTTGTTTTCCTTTTTGTTGAGTTTAGGAAACTTATAATCCTCCCATAATTACAAAGATTCCAGAAATAAAAACATGGCCACCTTTTTCTCCTTTCCCAGTAACAAGTTTGCAACCAACCCAAGCCTGAATAGCCCAGGTAGCATAAATCATTCCCATGCTCCCTATCAGTAATCCCTTTGAGAAACCTTGCTTTATGCCAAGTTGTGTACATTTTTCAAGAGCAATGTTGAACCTATTTAGTGTTTGATGCTCCCCAACATATGTGTAGAAAAGGTTTATTTTCTCATATCTTGAGTCAGATATTCAGAGATGGTCTGCGAGCCTCTGGTGATTGACATGAGTCGCATCTTCAACTGAGCTGAGTTGGCAACCGAATGTTGAGAGAAATTTCGTGCTAGGGAGTCCCAAATAGCCATAGAGGTGTTAAGGCCAACAACCTGAGAAAGAATAGATTCAGAAAGAGTAGCACGAAGTTGGCTAATGAGAGACTGATCAGTTTGATACCAAGAGATGTAGGCGGGGTTTGGAAGAGTGGCAGGCGTCACATCAGTAGATTTAGCCACAGGATCAGGAATAGTTGCAGGAGGACAGGGATGGGAGCCATCAACAAAACGCCAAAGATTCTGTCCAATAAGAAAAGGTTTAACCTGACTCTCCCAGAGAAGGTAATTGGTGTCATTGAGTTTGATGGAGACTAGCGTAGCAATATTGGGGGTGGAAGAAGGAGAGGAGGAAGAGGAGGCCATGAGAAAGAGAAGAATTGCAGGATGCGAAAAAGCTAAAAGGTTAAAGGCTAAAAGTTTGAAGCTGAAACAGGGAGAAGAGTTTCTGTCGAAGTCTGAAAACGCAGCAGTATAGGAGCTAAAGTCAAAAGGGCGAATAGGGAAAAATATCTAAAAGGCTAAGAGGGAGATGAATGGGGAGATGCTGGATTGTACTAAGGCTTAAAAGTCTGATACCATGTAGAAAAGGTTTATTTTCTCATATCTTTCAATGATACATGGATACAATATTTATACAGTAATGACTAGAGTAACAGCCCTATACTAATGACAGAGTAAATTACATAATTAATTTCATAACTGAAAACTGTTACAGAGCATATTGAATAGGTCTCATTGATTTGGTGATTACTGGTGTAACTCCCTAACAATATGAATAAACAGTGCGAATTGATGAGATTGCTTGTTCTGCAATACCTCCAGCAACCCCATAGGCACCATTTATCTTAGCTCCCAAGTCCTTGAGTACCTTTCAAAATACAAATCCTGGAATGATAAACATGAGCAAGAATGGAAGAGAAACCATTGCCAGTCGCCAAGAAAGTACAAAGCCAAATGAAAAGCAGAAGATAAATGATGAGAGGTGAGCCAGGCAATTCGGTATCTACAAAAACAGAGGAAATACAGGTTGATCAATTCAAGATTACAGAGTGAAGAAGAAGAAGAAGAAGAAGAAGAGCAAGGCCCATAAACAATTGAAAACCTTCTCGGTTATTGTGTCATGGATTAAATGGGCATAAGAAGAGATAGTAGAAATGACTTTGAAGATCATGGAAGAATTAGCTTGTTTATCAAAGAAGGCAACTTCTTGCCTGAGGACTGATTTGAAGTTTTCCATTCTCATGCGAGATCCCCGTCTCTCAGCAGTTCTGGTCCAACAAATTCCTTCTGCAAATCCTGAATGTTGACAGGTCAATAACATTAATCACACAACATTCAAAATGATACAATCAAATGAGTGTTGTTGAAATACATGTTTTCAGGGGTAAAGACTTGCCACAAAAATCAATAAGGCTCAAAGTTAACATAATACCAATGAAAGCAGATATTACAACTCCAATTGCAACAAAGAGCAGCCTGAGTGAGTACTGTAAAGAAAATGTGTTGCACTTTCTTAGCCATATGAGCTGGTAAGACTAACCAAAATTCAATACCTCAGTACAGTTTGAAAGCCATGACAGTTAGTTCCATGATTTTGCATACCTTGTCCACAATGTCATTGGAGAAAGTACCGCCTCCATATTCATTGATCACACCGCTGAGGACCAGCATCATCAACGGTGTCATCAACCCATCTCCAATGCTACCCAGAGTCCCCAAAACCAATAATAACTTGTCCACACCATCTGCATACCTGAAAATTCGACCTTTCTTCGCCATCTTACAAGCTGCCGCATGCAGGACTGTGTCACTTACAAAGAGAAATAACCTTAAGTCTCCATCTTATGAAATTTCATGCCACCATGCAATTAACATTAGGCTTTATTGTTATGAGATGAGATAACATTAGGCTTACCTTCTTGTATTTTCTGACATTTTAACTTCTGATATGAAATATATTTATACTTGGAGATTGTAATCCAAGTCAGACTCTAGTTTTCTATTGTAGTCTACATGTTTTTTTCTTGTTGATTAAGGTCCACTGACTATCCACCTTATATATATTTTTGTCCTTAAATGAATTGGTGAGTCCGCATATATTTTTAAAAGTAATCATTCAGTGTAGGACTAAAATCTTTGCTTATAGTTTTTCTTTTGATCATTGGGGAAGGGCGGATTGGAACTTGGGACCTCTTCTAACATTGGGAAGAGAAGTATCACTACACCAATAGGTAGTTGGTAAGTCTTTGCTTATAGTTAATACTCGTTTCAGAATAAATTGGCATTTTGTTGATTACATGAGACTGGTGTAGAAATGTCTTCATAAGTCCAGCTTCTGTGTTTCTTTTTTTTTTTTGGCTTTTTGGCTTTTGCCTCCTTGCAACATTGGGAAATATAGAAGAAAAACAAAGAATTCCTGTGACTCATGAATGGCGTCTTATATCTCCTAATTCTGGCTAGCTTCCTCCTGTTTGATGGCTTTTGTAGTTTGTCCCCTTCTTTTCTGGGGCTTTTGAAGTTGGTTTGCTTTAGTTTCTGCTTTGGTTTTTTTTTTTGGCTGGCGCAGGATGCTTTGGTCTAGTGGAAGTTTTCTCACGTTGCCCAAATTTTATGGTTCAAATGATGCTTAATCCACTATCATAGCAAAATATCTTGTACCTTTACTGATTTCAATATACATTTTCACAAAAGAAATTGTCAATTATTCCCATCTCTGCATCTAACTAAGAATTCGCGTGCCTGATGTTCTTCATTTTATCAATTAATTATCATAGATACTTTGTCATTTTACGTTTTAAAGTTAACATATGCCCCGTTTATGTGCCTTATGTTTTTGGTTTATATATTTAAGCAGCCATGCATTTTTACTTGATAAATTATGTGCCTATAGATCCGAGGAAAAGCAAATGAGCATTGAAACAATTATTTTTGGTGAAATATTGAACCAGTAGTTTGACTGGAAAAATTGATTGCAGAAAACAATTTGTTAGTAGTCAAGACAAAATGTTGATTCTGAGAATTTGCAGAGAACAAAACATGACGACATCATCAACCTTATTGCGTTTCATCAATTCAGGAAAACTTTGTTTAATAATCATGGAAGTTTCCCAGCCTTCATGTTGAACTTGAAAGCTATGGGATTCTACGTGTTCATGCAGCTCCATATATATGTCTTTTTCTTTTTTGTTTTATTTTTTTGGAGTCAATTTCTACTGCTTAACCAAGAACTTCCCCTGCAGGAATTACATGGACCGTCCTCAACTTACACCTTTGTGGACAAATGGTGTGGAGACTGATTGCTTTGCAGTTTTATCAGAGAATGGTAGGCACCGCCACGTCCGATAGCAAGTAGCTCATGGTGTGATCCTTTTTCTGCTACTTTCCCATTCACTATCACAGCAATGGAGTCTGCTTTTTGTATAGTTGACAACCTGTGAGCTACAACAACACATGTTCTGCCAACCATCATCTTCTCCAGTGCTTCCTGGACTAAATTCTCTGACACACTATCAAGTGCACTGGTTGCTTCATCCAGCAGAAGGATTGTTGGGTTCTTTAGTATGGCTCGTGCAAGTGCTATCCTCTGCTTCTGCCCTCCTGATAGTTGAACTCCTCTTTCTCCACAGTAGGTCTCATATCCCTCTTCCATAGAGCTGCAACATAAAAAAAAAAATGCATTTTCATTAGGATCAACAATTTAAATGTCAATGTGGAGAAAAATGTAGCGGTACCTTATAAATTCATGAGCATTGGCAAGCTTTGCTGCCTTTCTTACTTCAGCTACTGTTGCATTTTCTTTACCATAGACTATGTTTTCATGGATGGTTCCTCCAAAAAGAGTAGGCTCCTGGCTTACTAAAGCTATTTGTGACCTCAACTTTCTCAAATTATAGAGCTTGATGTCACATCCATCTATGGATACTGATCCATTTAGTGGGTCGTAAAATCTTTCAATCAAGCCAATGACAGTGGATTTTCCAGAACCACTCTGTCCCACTAGTGCCATTGTTTTTCCAGCTTCTATCTTGAGATTCAGGCCCTTGAAGATCATCTGGTCAGGCCTGACTGGGTAAGCAAATACAACATTCTTTAGTTCTATGTGACCCTTGAAAGTCTTTTTTATCCCTTCAAGCTCTTCTGATGAAATTTCACTTTCTCTGTCTAGGATGGATAATATTGATTTGATGGCTCTCCCCCCTCTCGCTAGATCAGAAGTCATGCTTCCTGCATCTGCAATGTTTTTACCAGTGCTCATTAAGACGAAGAAAACTTGAAACAGGTGTTTCGCCGTTACTAAATTTTGATTCATTAGCCTCCCCCCATACCAATAAGTCAAGGCTATTGCAGCTGTTGTCAAGAATTGGGAGCTGAACAGACCAAAACCTGAAATCCACGACTGTTTGATGTTCTCCTTCCTAGGCCCCCTCATTGCATCTCCAAACAGATTTAATATCCTATTCTGAGAGGAAAATGCAGTGATAGTTCTGTGGTTGAAAGCAGCTTCACTAGCTAGTTGGCTGCCCTCAGCCTGTGCTTTCTGTGCTTTTATAGACATACTCTTCATTAGAACACTCCTTGAATAGAAGCTTCCTATGAGCAAAGGTTGTATTGCAATCATTACAATGGCTATCCTCCATGTCACAATCAGTCCAATCACAAAAGCTATGGAGGCACTGAAAAAGACCTGAACCAACAATGATATACGATCTGCAGTTAGGGATCTAACCATGTTTGCTTCAGTGGTTAGCCGTGCACAGATGGCAGCACTTGTGTTTTCATCCTGATCAAACCACCCTATCTCAAAGGTGAGAATTTTTTCGAGCATTTTTATTCGAACCCTTTTGGATAAACACTCTCCCATAACTGCAAAATTGTAATGTTGGAGGAGATTAGCAATGAAGCTGAAAACTGCTAGGCTTAAGAAGATGTAACAGTAGAATCTGGTTTCTGATTTGATGGTGGAATTGTTTGTTTGGAAGTAAACTGCTACAACTGTTCCTAAGCAATAGGCATGAACTGGCTGAATAGATCCAAAGCCAGCAGCCCCTAGACACCCTAGTATTGCTTGCTTCCACTCAGGTGCATTCATTTTAAATAAACGCCAAGTAGAAGAGGAAGGATAAGAGCTGTCTTGTGACATTTCATCGTCAAATTCATCATACTGGCCAGCTTGAAAGGAGTTTGTAATGCTGATGGAAAATATTGGGGTGGTTGGATATGCTGGGCTGTTTTGCCAGCTTGATCTCGCACTCCTCAGTGCAGGGCTGTTTTGCCAGCTTGATCTCACACTATTTGGTGTATGTGGAGTTCGTGGATGCTTGATTATAATATCCTCTGGATGATAGGAAATGTCAGGACCATTCTGCATTGCTTGTTGCTGCATTTGCAGCATTTTACTGTATGCTCCACCTTCTCCATTGTTCTTGTGGACCAAGTCCTCATGAGATCCCATTTCCACCACTCTACCCGACTGAAGAACCACTATCAAATCAGCCTTGCGGATTGTGGTGAGGTGGTGAGCTATGACAATTGTTGTTCTTCCTTGTGAAGCTTGGTCCAAGGCTTCTTGCACAACTTTTTCAGATTGAGCATCCAAAGCACTTGTGGCTTCATCAAGCAAAAGAATTTTTGGGTCTCTGATTATTGCTCTTGCTATAGAAATCCTTTGCTTTTGTCCTCCAGACAATTGAACTCCAAATTGCCCAACCTGAAGTAAAGGTAAAAAACTTCAACTCAAATATAGCTATGAATACATTGAATAGTACTAGTTTTGCTTGAAACTTGGAACGAGTATAATATTGTGGCATACTTGAGTCTCAAATCCTAGGGGTAGTTTGACAATGAAGTCATGTGCATTTGCAGCCTTAGCTGCACTTATTACATGTTCCATTGAAGCTCCTTCCTTTCCAAATAAAATATTCTCTTTTATGGATGTTGCAAAGAGAATTGGCTCTTGATTGACCAGTCCCATCTGGGATCTCAACCATTGCAGCTGAAATTTATTTAACTTGTATCCATCAAGGAGAATATCTCCTTTTACTGGATCATAAAATCTTTCAAGTAAAGAAATGATTGTTGACTTGCCAGAACCACTGCCTCCAACAAGACCCACCATCTTACCAGCTTGGACTTTAAGGTTGAGTCCTTGAAGAACTGGGGTATCAGGTCTTGATGGATAGCAGAAATCAACCTTTCTAAATTCGATATCACCCTTCACATATGCTAAAACTTTTCCCCTTTCATCTTCAGAGTCAATGGCAGGTGTGCGGTCAATCATTTCAAATATTCTGGTAGCAGCATCAGTAGCCTGGGTGATAAAAGAGAGATTTGGAAGCGCATTCATAATGGCCCTGAAAATACAAGATTGAAGCCGTTAGTTGAGACAAATGAGGGGAAAAAGAGAGAGGAGATTCCTAGGGAAAGGGAAGCATATCAGTTCTTGCAAAAGTCTTATAACACACAAGAAACATCAAGGTAATTGAGTGCAGTTCGTATCAAATGACATACATTAGTTCAAACACACAACCAATGCATATACTGATATATTCTGATATGTTTATATACCTGAAGTGATAGACATGTGGTTGCATACAGAAATCGAAGAAGGAAAAGGAGTATAAAGAAAAGTAACTTACAATCCTCCCAGAATTACACAGATTCCAGAAATAAAAACAAGACCACCTTTTTCTCCTCTCTCAGTAACAAGTTTGCTACCAACCCAAGCCTGAAAAGCCCAAACAGCATAAATCATTCCCATGCTCCCTATGAGCAGTCCCTTTGTGAAACCTTGTTTTATGCCAAGCTCTGTACTTTTTTCAAGAGCAATGCTGAACTTTTTTAGTGTTTGATTTTCCCCAACATACGAATAAACTGTACGGACTGATGAGATTGCTTGTTCTGCAATCCCTCCAGCAACCCTATAGGCACCGTTTGTCTCAGCTCCCAAATCCTTGAGCACCTTCCCAAATCCAATTCCAGGAATCAAAAACATGAGCGAGAATGGAAGAGCAGCCAGTGCCAGCCGCCAAGAAAGCACGAAGGCAACAGGAAAGCAGAAGAGGAATGATGAGAGGTGAGCCAGGCAATTCGGTATCTACATAAAAGGAGAAATACAGGTGATCAATACATGTTTACAGAATGAAGAAGAAAGAAGAAGAACAAGGCATGCCAAAGCCAATTGAAAACCTTTTCAGCTATTGTGTCTTGGATTAAATGGGCATCAGACGAGATAGTAGAAATGACTTGGAAGGTCATGGAAGAATTAGCTTGACTGTCAAAGAAGGCAACTTCTTGCCTGAGGACTGACTTTAAGTATTCCATTCTCATCCGAGATGTCTGTCTCTCAGCAGTTCTGGTCCAACAAATTCCTTCTGCAAGTTACCAGTGTTGACAAGTATATATAATCATGCATCATTGGAAACGGTACGTGGTTCTTCAGGTTATGTTCACTCAAGTGTGTATATACTATATAGTCTGCATATTATGTTCACTTAAGATGATTTGACAACTCTAAAACCAGAAAACCCAGTGTTGCAGGTTCAGAGCTCTAGAAGCCTATCATGTTTGTAGAGACTAAAGAAACCGAAGCACCAAACAACCCCCGAACAAGATACAAAAGTAGAAATTTAAAGTTGACATAATACCAATGAAAGCAGATACTCCAACTCCAATTGCAACAACGAGCAGCCTGAGTGAGTACTGTGAATCAAAGAAAACGTGTTGGCATTTTGTTAGCCTTGGCCATATAAAATGGATACATATAAACCAACCAAAATTCATAATATGAGGACAGGACAGTTTGATAAAACTAGCAAATTAACCTTGTCCACTATGGCATTGGAGAGAGTCAGAGTGCCTTCTCCACCTCCATATTCATTGATCACACGGCTGAGAACAAGCATTGTAAGAGGTGTCATCAACCCATCTCCAATGCTACCCAAAGTCCCAAACACCATCAGCAACTTGTCCACGCCATCTGCATACCTGAAAATCCCTCCCTTCTTCCCCATCTTACAAGCTACAGAATACAAATCACGCCAATCACTTGCAAATTAATAGCAATAAAATTCACATTGTTTAAGAGATGAGATAGCTTAGTGGTTGGCTTAACCCAAAAACAAAACGAAAAACAAAAAAACCATGGTTAAGAGATAAGATAACTTACTAGAGGTGGCCTTCCCTTGTTGTATTTTATGACATTTTCAGCTTCACTGATACCAAATGGATCATATATAGCTAATAACTTAATGCACGTTTTAGAATAAGTCGGCATTTTGTTTGATTACTTAGGACTTGTCGAAATGTTGGTTTCCATAAATTCCAACTGTCTATGTTTCTGGTTATCTTGGCATTCCTCTTGCCTCCATGCACCATTGGGAAATATAACAAGACAAAATCTTTTTGTCTTTTCTTAGTTTTTTAAATTCTTCAAACATATCAGGCCAAAAAGTCAAATACTTCAAACATATGAAAATTCTTCAAACATGGGTCATCAATCGGCCTTGGTGAACCTTGAGATGCATATTAATTTGACACGTGTGAGTAGATTATGTTGAACTCAATTTTGATTCTTAAGTTCCATCATCAACTCCGAGCCAAACTTACTAGATTTAGATTGTGCTGTTGGAAGTATCCCCCTTGTCCTTGAAAACATTTTGGGTTAACGATTGGCTTTAAAAAAACGCATCTCAGATTTTGGTACCCAGAAAAAAAAACGCATCTTATATTTTGCAAGCATCTGCTTGTATATTTTCAGGCTCATCCCAAAGGAGTTTTGCCGACTTAAAAAAACAAAAGGCATCATCAAAACAATATATAAACATGTTGTCCAACGACAGGTCGTTTGTTTCAACCTTTTCAGGTTGGTCATGCCCCCTTACAGTACTTACTGAAACATAACAAACATTCCTTAAAGCGTTACATATTAGATCTATCTACTATGCCATTGCCATTTTTGTGAGTGGAGTAAAAACTCAGCTGTTAAGCAGAGTGGCTGTTTTGAAGCTGAATAAGAGAGTGATATGCTCCTCCACGTCCAATGGCAAGTAGCTCATTGTGTGAAACTTGTTCCACAACCTTTCCATTCTCTATCACAGAAATGGAGTCTGCCTTTTGTATCGTGGACAGCCGATGAGCTACCACTACACATGTTCTCCCAATCATCATCTTGTCAAGCGCTTCCTGGACTACAGTCTCCAATACGCTATCGAGCACTGGTTGCTTCATCTAATAGGAGAGCTCTCAGGTTCTTGAGTATCGCTCGAGCAAGTGCTATTCTATGCTTTTGACCCCCTGAGAGTTGCACCCCTCTTTCTCCTCGGTAAGTTTGATATCCATCTTTCATACCACTGGATTATATATAGAATATGCCTTGTTAAAGAACAAATAAAAGTTACAAAATTTTGTGTGCCACAGTTTCAATAAGAAAGTTAGGATGATATATATGTTTGTACCTTACAAATTCATAAGCATTGGCAAGACTTGCTGCCCTTCTTACTTCAGATTCCCTGTAATTCTTTTTGGAAGTAAACTGAGGCAATTGATCCCATGCAATAGGAGTGAAATTGCCTGTATAGCTCCAAAGCCAGCAGCACCTAAACACCCAAGTAATGCTTGCTTCCACTCAGGTGCATTCATTCGATACAAACGCAATTGGGATGGAGGAGGATAAGAAGTATTTTCTTGCTTTACATTGTTGAAGTTACCATAAAGGTGCATTGGGAAATATCTGCAACGCTTAAGGAATATACTGAGCTGAATTGGTAGGCTGGGCTGTTTTGCCAGCTTGATCTTATGCTGATTGGTGAAGGTCTTATGCTACATGGTGAAGGTCTTATGCTAATTGGTGAAGGTCTTACACTGGTCATCAATTTTAGGTGGCTTATATCTTCGGCTGGATGTCTGGTGCCATTCAGTGCTTCATTTTGCATGGCTAATTGCTGCAAGTGCACCATTTTGCTGTATGCACCCCCTTCTTCACCTTCTCCGTTTTTCATATGCATCAGCTCCTCATGGGAGCCTGACTCAATTACTTTCCCAGATTGAAGAACCACTATCAAATCCGCTTTGCAAATTGTGGTAAGCCGATGAGCAACAATAAGTGTTGTCCTTCCAATCGAAGCGTGGTCCAGGGCTTCCTGCGCTATACTTTCAGATTGTGCATCCAAAGCGCTTGTGGCTTCATCAAGCAGAAGAATTCTTGGATTTCTAAGCAGTGCCCTTGCTATAGCAACCCTTTGCTTTTGCCCTCCAGACAACTGAACTCCAAATTGGCCCACCTAAAGCAACACAGGTCAAAATTAGTAACTATAATCAAATAATGTATTGATTTAAAGGACTAAATTTTTTTGGCTTACTTGAGTATCATATCCATCAGGTAACTTAACGATGAAGTCGTGTGCATTTGCTGTCTTAGCTGCACTTATGACATGCTCCATTGCAGCTCCTTCTTTTCCAAATAAAATGTTTTCTTTTATAGATGTTGCAAAGAGAACTGGTTCTTGATTAACAAGTCCCATCTGGGATCTCAACCATTTAAGCTGAAGTCTCTTTATATCATATCCATCAAGCAGAATTTTCCCTTTGTAATGGTCATAAAATCTTTCAAGTAATGAAATGATTGTAGATTTTCCAGAACCACTGCCTCCAACAAAACCTACAGTTTTTCCAGCCTGTATGGTAAGAATGAGTCCTTGAAGAACCGGGGTATCAGGTCTCGATGGATAACTAAAGTACACCTCTTTGAACTCCACTTTTCCTTTGCCATGTCCTAAAACTTTTCCTCTCTTTTGAGTGTCTATAGCAGGATCTCGTTCAATCGTCTGTAACATCCGAGCAATAACACTTGTTGCCTCCAAAATGAAAGAGAGATTTGGGAGCACATTCATGATGGACCTGAAGATACAAAGACTTGTGATTTCTTATGAATTAAAAGATCACAAAGTAAAGAAATTCAGCAAAAAGAAAAGAAACTCAGGGTCCTCCCCAGATGACGCAGATTCCACAAGCGAAAATAAGCCACCTTGTTCTCCTCTCTCAATAATGATTATGCTACCAATCCAAGCCTGGAAAGCCCAATTAGCATAAACCATTCCCATGCTCCCTATTAGCATTCCCTTTATCAAACCCTGCTATACACCATGCTCCATACTTTTTTGACGGGCACTACTGAATCTATCTAGTGTTTGTCTCTCCCTAACATATGAATAAACAGTCCGTATTGATGAGATTGCTTGTTCTGCAATTCCACCAGCAACCCCATACGCGCCATTCGATTTACTTCCCAAGTCCTTCAGTACCCTTCCAAATCCCAGTGCCGGAACAATAAACAATACAGAGAATGGAAGAGCTGCAACTGTAAGTCGCTAAGAAAGCGAAAATGCAACTCCCAGGCTAATGAAAAAGGATGATAACTGAGCCAGACAGTTGGGAATCTACAACAAAGGAAATGTAGGTGATGTCAGCACAAAAGAGTAAGGGCCGGAGGGAAACAAGCACGCTTGCACACACACAATCAGAAAGAGAAGGGATTGAAAGCCTTCTCAGCTATAGTGTCTTGGATCAAATGTGCATCAGAAGAGATGGTAGAAATGACTTGGAAGGTAGTGGAAGCAGTATCTTGGTTATCAAAGTAACCAACATCTTGCCTGAGGACTGATTTCAAGTATTCTATTCTCATCCGAGATGTTTGCCTTTCTGCAGTTCTTGTCCAACAAACTCCTTCTAGAAAATATGAATGATATGTCTTCAGGATAAGTATATCATAAACCGGTTATTAAATTTGTGTATTGTTATACTATGCCCAGGTGTTTCTTATGCCTTTTACCAAATACCAAGTACAAGTTTTTTTGTAGATCAAAAGCAGAGCGAATCTAAAGCCACTTTTGCTACAGCCTTGCAGCTATTATTGCATCGTATCCTTCCTTGTTTATACAGAGGAAAAGCCTTAAGCCACATAGATACGTACCCACGAACGCAGAAATTCCAACTCCAATGGCAAGATACAACAGATTCAGGGAGTACTATAAAAAAGGGAAAGTATGCAGGTTAGTTAGCTAAACAATTAAAATGAATAAATTGTAATTAAGCAGTTATTATACTCTCTCTTAGATTCCTTGTGACATCTAGTGAAAGAAGTATCATCACACAATACTTGAGTTATGAGGTAATCTGCTATATATTTTACACGGTATAAATTTTCATCTTGAAGCATTTTTTCAACATTATAGCAATCCATTTCTTGAACAACCATCCAAGAAAATGTTCATTAACATGCTGGTGGATTTCCTACCTTTTTTGTCTCTATGAATGTATTATTAGTTTCTTTACCTCATTTACAGTCTCATTGGAGGGAATAGAACGTCCATACCCATTGATCATCCCACCAAGAACTACCATGGTTAACGGGGTCATGGAACCATCTCCTATGCTACCCAAAGTTCCAAAAAACAACAGTAACCTGTCTATGCTGTCGGCATATCGAAACAGGCTACCTTTGCTCCCCATATTGCAGACCACAAACAACAACACAGACCTCACTAAGAAAATTCACTGTCTCAAATGAAACTCAAATGGATGGTTAAACTCATTCTTGATATGTACAAACATATATATATTGGTACACATATCAGTTGACCCTTGTGCCGGTGGTATTGTAACATCTTGCACATACTCTTCCAGCCTTTCATGTATTTATATAATGTCATTGGCCTCCTATACAAACTAGATACAATTTTATTGTTATTCTGTTGCCACTACAGTGATAGAAACCAATAGTTAAATCAGCCACATTGATGTTACTGATGTAGAACGAGAGGAATCGGATCTTAGTTTATCCGATTGCTTAGGCACAAAATGCCAACAATCCCATGGAAATAACTTTTGAATGCTTACCCTAAAGAGATGTCAACTTGATTGTATAAGAATTTAGAATTTGGGGTTCAGTTGTGAAGTACATATCATTCTACTATTAATGGCTTTACTCAGTCCAGAATATTTGGCTCCAAAAGTCAGTTTCCTCCTCTCCTCTGCACTGAAAAGAGTCAGTTTCATTTCCTACCACAACAGTAAACGCTGAGAAATCAAAATATTAGCATTTGCTGCTTAGATGAATCTACTGGGCAGTCCATTAAATTAAAAGGGAAAATTTGTACACATTTCCTGTTTATATCAGCTAAAAACTTTTTTTGTTTTTTTTTAGGGAACAACTGTTGTGACAAGTCGAAGAGAAGGGGAAATTCTTGTCCCTTGATAACTGTACATGGCATATGTTAAAAGGAGCTAGAAACAAGGGGTTGCGTTTAAGTGAGTTTCCTTGAAGATGTTGTGTTGTTCTGTCGCTTACTTTGCTTCTTGTTGGCAAACCAAATGTTAAAAATTTACCAAACATTACTAATAACATGGGCAGGCACAGCCAAACACCCGAAATTTGATCTAGATTCTTCATAGGTTACACTACTATAATGATGGGAAATTCCTGGCTGGCCTGCGAAACTTACAGTGCTCTCACTTTTCACTCAATCTAAGGTGGCTAGTCAAATCACCCACAACAACTTTCTAGCGTACACCCACTACACATTAAAACAATCAGAATAATATGATGGAAAAAGAAAATTAATGGATTTGGATTTCATTTTCCGTCTTCGAATCTTTTCATGTCTGTATGCACCTTACTTTTATTTTTTAAAATTACAAGCAAAGGGGATGGGGGTTTGAATATGAGACCACTCATATGCAAGTCAAGGTCTCAATCTGTCCGAAACAAATGTTCTTTCATCAAATTGTCTACCATATTATTGAATTAAATTATCAATCTTCTAAATCTTTGACCAAAAAAATTGTCAATCTAAATTGCAAATTATTTGCGTAATCTTAGGGGGGTGTATTCAATTGTGATTTTAATGGATTGTTTTGAAGCTTAAAAGTACAACGGTATTTAATTAGGATTTTTAAGTAATTAATAAAAATCTGGTGGTATTCAATTAGGATTTTTAAATAATCAATACAAGTCCGGTGGTATTCAATTAGGACTTTTAAAAGATAAGAAAAAGTACCGTGGTATTCAAAAACTTATTGATTTTGAGGTATTTCATTAAATGATGTATTGTGTGAGACTTTTGGGTGTGTGATATAAATACCAAATCACATAACAAATCTCATCTTCCTATGCATGATTCTCATATATGCTCTCATACTTTTTTTTTTCCCACTATTTTTGTATTCTTTCGCAAGGAGTTGCAACCCTCCACAACTCTGCCGGTGTGCCCACAAGTTGCTTGATCTAATGCCTCAAAGAGGCTTTTTTTAATTTTGTTTTTAATTTTTATGCGTAGCTGCTGCCCATACAGTGCACATGGCTAATTTTTATTTAATTTTTTTCTTCTAATTCCCTGTCCCAAAACGCAATGTCCATGAGACCCAACATCTTGCATTTCAAGCTCTCTGAAAAATTCTATTTCCATGTCAACATGTTGGGTTTTAAACAGATCATCCAATAAAACAGCAGAAGACTGCAGATTGGCCACAAGATTGCAATTTTTTTTTTTCTAATTCCCTGTCCCAAAACGTTTGGTACCAGGACAAAACAGAATAAGATAGAAGAAGTCTTACCCACAATCTAGAAGAAACGTTGATAACGTGCAAGGTGTTTTTTTCACTCCACAGTTTTGGTCCAAGCTTTGACAAAAACTAGGAGTAGTCATGGGGTTGGGCTAGGAGTTTTCAATATGTTTCTTTATTTTGTATTTCTGGAGCTATCTGTTTTGCATTAGGTGTTATATAATGATGGGAAATTCCTGGCTGGCCTGCGAAACTTACAGTGCTCTCACTTTTCACTCAATCTAAGGTGGCTAGTCAAATCACCCACAACAACTTTCTAGCGTACACCCACTACACATTAAAACAATCAGAATAATATGATGGAAAAAGAAAATTAATGGATTTGGATTTCATTTTCCGTCTTCGAATCTTTTCATGTCTGTATGCACCTTACTTTTATTTTTTAAAATTACAAGCAAAGGGGATGGGGGTTTGAATATGAGACCACTCATATGCAAGTCAAGGTCTCAATCTGTCCGAAACAAATGTTCTTTCATCAAATAGTCTACCATATTATTAAAATCATGAGTAAAATCATGTAATTGCAATCTATTAAAATCATGAGTAAAATCATATAATTACAAATCCGGCTGAAATCCATTACATTAAAATCATGTAATTACAATCTATTAAAATCTCAATTGAATACACCCCC